TAAATGTAACCATCTGCTCTGCTTGGTTGGAGCTGGGAGGAAAGGGAACAGGAAGAATCACTGGGCCATCAATTGTGCGCCTTACAGAGCAACCAAAATGGGAATTTAGTTTTGAAGCATTCGTTCTGCAACCAATCGATATAAATATTGGGCATGTATAATTTGAAAGGTGTCAGTACCACATAGTGATGCACTGCATCATTCGCTCCCTATGTGAACTCACCCTGCAGGTGCTCATAATACACAGGACAGCTGCGTGTGTGCCATGCTGCAGCCATCAGCCCACTGCCCAGCTCCCCTGCCAGCCCCAGCAGTGCCACCAGCAAGAGCAGCTCTTGGTATTGGCTTTGCATTTTATATTCTAAAATTCAGTGCCTCACTTTTTAACAGTTGGTTGGAAATCATCTGCTTTTATTTTTCTGTTCCAATGGAGTTGTTGGTTTTTTTTTTTCTTTCTACTTTATTTTTCATTTCCTGCTTACAGCCAGAACCATAACATCTATTTAAACACAGATACGCCCCGCTACCAAGAATAAGCGAAGGAGCTGATGATTGTAGGTACTCAGCAATTTCCTGATTCAGAAAGCACAATGTCTCAGCACTCCTCCTGCTCAGATCTCACAGTTTCATTGCAGAGCAAAAGGAGGAGTATTTGATCTAAGGCAGCACATGTTTTATTAAATTATTGGCAATCTGCAGGTTTCCACAAGGCAGCGACGGCTTTCGTGTCTCATCATTCCCCTTGGCTCAATTGCCACATCTGACCACGCACAAAACCAAACTGCATACTATGTCTACTGCAAGGGCAGTTAGTTACTGGTCATATTGGTATACAGTATACAGGATATACTGAGTGCTGATTCTATTTATTAAAAATAATAAAGTAAAAAATTTCAATAAAATAATAAAAATCTGCACCACTCATTCTGCAAAGAAAAAACAGGAGATTCCTGTCTCTCCAGATCAGGTGGGGGTGATTAAAGACTCTCATCAGGAACGACACACATACTGATAGATCCAAAGGTGTTTTATGCTCAGCTTTGCTGCAGCCAACAGCTCTGGATTTCCTGAGGGTGCTTCCCTGATGGAATGAATTCTATCTTCGATCTATGCTGCGAAGGGAGGAAATGGATATTTAAGTTATCAGCATGTAGCTGGGTTCGATGCTAGTAAAATAACATGAGTAACTCAACATTCTTGTTTCTGGGGCTTCCAGCCTGCATGTAAATGTAGCATGGCTCATTCTCTGGCATCCCAACCTGCATTACATAAATACTGTTAATAAAAAGATAGCATTATTCTTCAGAATCCCCTAATCTTGACCAAACAAATTAACTAGCAGTGATATCACCAAATAATACATAAAGAAGCACCACCAGCCTATCAGTAGATTCAAATAGATTCAAAATTGTAATGTGAACCTTCCATTCCCAGGATTTTCTTTTCTTATTTCACTGGACTTGGATTTCTTGATTTGTGTTGTGTGTTTCAGACCTAACGCTCACATGGACATCAGCAGTGACAGCTGGTAATAATGCCATTGCTGTTTGGTGATGAGTCCCAAGGGTGTTAACAGAAGCTTGCCTGACCACAGCCCAGCTACTCCAGAGGAAAGGATTCCTGCTGCCTTCAGCAGCTCAGTTGTTCAATTTCCCAGTGTAAAGCTGAATCAGGAGGTGACTATTGCAAATAACACAAACATCACCTGGGTTTGCTCAAATGTCAGGTTTTATTTGGGGCTGCGCAGCTCCAGGAGAAAGCCTGGAGCTCTGACACCAGAAACAACCAACCCTTCCTGATGTCATCTGCTTGGTGCTCTGATTTAAACGCCTGCTCCTCAGTAAAACAACACACTGCAGCAGGACGGAGAATCCCCAGGGAAAGAATACAAACAAAAGCACAAAACAATCTTCCACAAGTGCCTCTACCCAAGGGTTCTTAATTCCAGTTATCTTACAGACAAGTGTTTTCCAGCCCAATTCTCCCCACCTGGCATGAAAAAGCCTTTGTCAGTGATGAAACAACACAAGCCTAATTGGTTTGAAGTTAATGGGCAGTCCTACCCTTGTTTGGCAACAATAAAGTGAAACAAAATAAACTTGAGTAACACACAAAACCAAAAGTGCTCTTGATAATGATTCATGCAAAGGTTTATTTTCAGAATTCACCCCTGAACGTTATCACCTACCTTCCCTTTGTTTCACTTCTGACTCAGGCAGAGCTGCACACCACGACTCAGCAATCTTCATAAGCCACCACAGCTCAGCACCAACACTGAAAGAGATCGCTGCCCTTGCTTGGTGCTTCTGCTTTTGGATGGCCTGCGCCAGCAGCCTCAGAAAGATGAGCTGGGAATTAACTCCAGCTAAACCCAACACAGAACTCTACCCAAGTGACATAGTTCCCAAACTCAAGTGTGGTTTTCAGTAGGTCAGATTTCAATGGCACCAAAGGGACAGCAGAGCCCTCCAGCAGCTGCAGCTCCGCATCCTTCACAGCTGGCAGAGCAGCTATCAGTCTGACATTGCTATCTTTTCCCCTCCTGCATTGCAGAGCTATAGTTATGTGCTTCATTTATGCTAAATGTAGGTATGCTTTAATTTGACTAAATGTGCCAAAAATAGAGATCATGCACCATTAATACTGTGTGGCTTTCAGGCGCATCATTACACGTTTATGGAGAAATAAATATTTATGCAACTATTTACTTCAGTTTTATGGACCATATATTCTGAGAGCATGCAATGCCTTCAGCACAAAAGGTTTTCTGTATCATTTGGTCTGTAGATATTTCATCTCACTCTGTAAAACTAAGCCCTCTACTCAGTCAGTAAGTGAGATAGGATAAATTAAATTAACAAGTGAATTTCTCATTGCCAGTGCTCTTCTATTTTGTACTGACTTTTATCCAGTGATCTCAAAATGTGGACAATATCTTCTTGAAAGCTGTAATTTCATGTAAGCACGATTTCACACACTACACAGAAGCAGCCTGTCCAGTTCTGCAGGCTGTATGCTAGCTTTAAGCTCTCAGCAGAATGTAAAAGCAGAGGACAAGACAGTAAGGAATGGCAACCAGAGAAATGAGAGATAGGGCAGGCATTCACCTCAAAGAGAGGCTGTGCATTTACTTTAGTCAGCCTAGGACAAACCAAACCCCTCACATCTTCTATTTCTAATGTTTCCAGAGCATTTAGAAGGCAGAGAGCTGGGGAGATACCCAAACCCAGAACCACCCAGCCTGCATGTCTGCAGCTAAGGCCCTTCTACAGGCTTGTCAGAAAACAGAAGGGTGTGTGGGCTACATGCTGGAGAGAAAACCACCACAACACAAACCTTCTCCCTGGCAAGTTGATTTCCTGGCACTTGTAAATCCCAAATACCCAAGAAGCACAGTGCAATCAATGCAGCTGAGACCCAAGTTCTAATTAAAACCTCCTGTTTGCAAACAGCTTGTCTTTAAGTGCTACATGGCCAGAAGCAGTGATAGAATATTCCCTAAAAATAAGAAAATGGTTCATTACTGCTCCTGAAGAACAGAAGATCAATCTGCCCTTGTGAAAGTTAATGAATACACAGAAACACCACACCGTGACCCAGACCCCAGAGCCTGAGGCAGCGCCGTTATTATCATGCATTTTCCAGATCTGCTCAGCAGCAGGACTGGGATACAAACTCTTACTGCATTCATTTATCTGAGTGATTATTTAAATTAACGACATTCTGGCTGCGAGTCACAAGCTTCAAGAGTTGTTCACCTGTTTAAATATTAATTGTGCTTTTCTGCTGCAAGGTGTGAGAAGGAAAGCAGAATTAAATGCTAACAATTTTAATTCTGAATATCAACAACAGTCCAAACATTAAAAAAAAAACAACCCACAGAAATACAGCTGTTCCACTGAAATGATGAAACAATTTACTTATGCCCCCCCATCAAGCAAGCAAAACTTAATGACTTAAACACATTCAGTTAAATGCAGGGCTTCACTTGTAATCAGGATAATCACAGCCTTCTATCCTCTTTTCTTCTGGCCACTGTGCAAAAACCAACCAAGCTAATTTGGAAGTCTTTTTCTTCTCTTGAATTAAGGTGCCTGTATAGCAGTGGTAGATGCTGGGGTTACGGTCACAAAACAGGAAAATCTTCTGCTGTGTAGCATTGTGAGAGTCCTGCTCAGTCTGCTCCCTCACACTTCAATGAGAGGAGCTGTCATTAGAGATGGAAGGGGGGACCCTCACCCCCCTCTCCCCCCCCGCTGCCCCTTTGGCTTTGCAGCAGCTCTGCTCACTGTGCTGATGGTAACAACATGAAGCGCTGCGCCACCAATTAACTGGGAATTGCTTTTATTTCAAACATTTACAGGGATGGAAATAAATACAGGAAACAGATGACAGAGAGTGAGCTTTTAATAGAAACAAACCAAGTCTCCATCGGGGTTCAAACAGGAAAAGATTGAAATCCAACAGCTGCTTAAAACTGGCCACTATTTCAAAGGTCGGGGGTTATGCTGAACAGTCACGTTAAGAACTGAAGATAAGCATTACAAACAAGGATGACAGCTGTAACGGACAGGATGAAACCACACTACAACAGGAGAGTCTTCTATTTACAACATAGGTATCATACAAAAACATTTGGAAATATTTAGGGAGCAACTTGTCTGTCCAGCTGTAGGATAGAAAAGAACCACTGCAGGGTGAGATGGTTTTGTTCCCACCCCCAGTCTCTACAGAATCATTTTAACTTTTGGCAAAGTTGGAAAGAAAAACAAAACAAAAGACAACACGCCACCTTTGTGTTGCAGTAACTTCCCAGCCAGCCCACACTTCTCAGTGTTTCTATCCTCGCTTTGCATCATCCGTGTCATCCCGGTACCAGGGCAGCACATCAGAAGACAAAGAGTTTGTAAAGTTCTTGGCAGCCCTTTATCGATGATCTGATCTGTAGACTGGAAACGTGTCTGTCCGATGGAGCTTCACAGGGCTTGAGACATCTGGTGTGTGCCAGGATGAAAAACAGAACAGTGCTCAGTGAGGCACAGCGACTGTACTCAGCGCCCTGTAGATCACTATGTGAACTACAGCTTACGTCCTTAAAGTAGGGAGAGGTATAATTAACCTGCTGCTTCATCTCAGAAACAGCTCCACTCAGATTTTCAATATGAATTGAAGCATTTGAAGCTTTGGGCAATGTGCTTTAACTGGAGATGCTCAGGGTGGCACTGGGACAGTCCCCGACAGCCGAAAGAGACGACTTCACCATCTATCCTGATTACAGCACTGCCTGCACGGCTTTATTTTTCCCTTCTCAAAGACCAGGACTTTTCAAAGACTTCTACTGCTTTCTCATGACCACAACCTCCAAGGATCCCCTTTCCAGTTTAACAAGCTGTTCTAAATACAAAACGAGTGGTCTGTCCCCATACAGTCTGTTTACACTGAGTCAACACAGTGCTGAATGACTGCACTAATAACTAAAAATACACCGAGGCACAGCCATAGCAGTGCCTGACGGGCTCAGCGCCGCTCCCGCGTGTCACAGCATCGCCTGCCCGCATCCCGGTACGAACCAGCGCCAACAGGCGTTCGCGTGCTGCTTCTATTGCGTTATTCTTCCCTCCGTCCGAAACACGGCAGAGGCTTCGCTGGGGCTTTCCACGCGCTGCATGCCCCCTCTAGCGTTCGAAAAAAGGAACGGGACAAAACGACGAGCTGTTCCTGCCAGAGGGATGAGAATGGAGCGTAGCCGCCTGTGTCGGGTGTCAGCCCTGGATTTCTAACTACAACCGCTGACACTCCGTGCTCTGCAGAGGTCGGAGCCTCCTGCTTAATTTAAACGTGTAAAATGAGTATCTAAGAATCATTGCTTCTCCTCCTACCTGAAGGACTAAAAAAAAAAAAAAAAAAAAAAAGCTATAAATGAATAAATCAAATCACCATCTCTGTAAGATTTCCCAAGCACAGCGTTATTCCATCCGTCTACACACTGCGAGAAGAAAGCCGCAGCCAGCCACAGCTCTGCCCCTCAGCATCGCGCTGCCTCACCTGCACCACGCGTCCCGTCTGTTCTCCGGGGTCTCTTCTGCGTACCCCGACCCTTCCTTCCTTCCTTCCTTCCTTCCTTCCTAGCTCACCAGCACCAGTTGCAGCCCATCCCACAGCTCGGGGAGCGCGGTGCCACTAGATGGCCCCCGGGGACCGCGGAGCGCAGCCGGGACAGAAGCCCTCCGGAAAAACCTCGCAGCCCACCCGGAGCTGTGCCTGCACGGAGATCCCTCACGTCTCCACACCATGACGCCTTGCCGGTACGGACCTTCGGTAAGTTATTGTTTTAGGCCTTCTTAGCTTCAGTAAGGTCCTGCCTTACATTAATTGTGGACATATTAGGCATAAACTGTTGACCGAGTCCAGGACCAGGAGTGGACCCAGCTTCACCACAGCTTCTCGCCTCCATGGTTTAACTACAGATCCCAGAAGACCTCACTTTTCATTTCCATCTTCCAGGGAGAGGGAAAAATGAAACTGAGTGGAAGTCAAGAGACTCTCTTTGCTCCCTGATGGCTCAGAGTAAGAACTTCAATTTTTCAGAAACTGTCATCTATTTATTAGTTTCAATCCTAATTATTAAACAAAGTTTGTTTTCCTCCTCAGATCATTGCCATTTCTCTTTTTTTCCTTTTCATTCCCTTTCCCCTTTTCTGGCCCAGGGACCTGCTGTCCCTGTCACACAGATCTAGAGAGAAAACCATGCCATGAAGTCACCCCTCCACTGAAAAGCAAGACAAGCATCCTTCTGATGCTAACCTCTCCAACTCAGGTTGGACAAGCACTTCCCTCCATTAATTCGACAGCAGTGGCAACTGGCTGAGACTGAGCATCATTGTTCAGAGAGATGGAGAGACACTGCCCTGCCTCAGCAGCCCTCCCCAGCTCCTCCTTACCTTGCAGGCCGTAGAGCTGGCCGGTGCTGTGCTGCCGTGTGATGTGCTGCCAGTAGGCACTGCGGGGCAGGGGCACCATGGTGCTGAGGGACACGGCTCGCTCACTCATCTTCATCTGAAGCTGTAAAGCAGTAAACAGATATGAAGGAAGCAGTTGTGCACACTGAAGGTCCTCAGGGAAGAGCGCAACCACTGCCTGAAAAGATTTCTAATGGCATTTCAGCACAGCGTCACCCTCTGTCCATCTGCCCATCCTGCAGCCAGCAGGGACTGACTCGGGGTTAGGCTGGGGGCACACACCACACGTTAGGAAGTCACGCTGCTTTGCACACCAGAGCTCACCTTCGTGCTGCCCTGCTCCTGCGCCAGCACTGCTGCCTCTGCAGGGAGGTCTAACTCAAGTAGCTGAAACAGAAACTGAGGTTCAGTGGGAGGCAGAAAAACGCTCCTCCTCTGACAGCTACGCAGCAACTACGTAAGCAGCTTCCCAAAGCTACGTACAACCTCAGCACACCAAGAACCTGATCAGACATGTTTCACATGAATTCAGTAGTATGCATATGCTGGCTGATAATAATATCTGGGTTTTATCATAAACTTCATAGTAGAACTAAAATTCTCTTTTTTCCAAAGCTCAGAAAAACATTAGTTTGAAGATACCAAACCTGTACTTGATCTTTTCTATTTATAAAAATGCTTTTCAGGAAAAGAGAAAGCTCTTACGTTATAGTTTCACAAAACCTGAGGTGACAGAACCTTTTACAAGAGAGCTGCCTGTTACTGAAGAGCCATTTTGAGGTTCTTTAGAGGGGCCAAAACCCTCAAACTCCCTCTGTATGGTGGATGCTGTGCCTGCAACGTCAAGGGAAATCAAAACAAAAACAAAAGCAAACCCAGATCAACCTTTGCTCTTAGAACACACACCCCCCATGTCGGAAGGGTGAGTCACTGCACAGCACGAGCTGCCACCTCCACCACACAGTATTTATCACAGTTCCATCACTGAAGCCCCAACATCACTCGTGGTGTCACCACACACAACAGCTCCATGGAAACAAACAACGAGAGTCCCACAGCCGGAGCAGAACGTGCTTCCTCACTGATGGCACTTCTAGGCTGGTGCACTCACAAGTGAGTCGGGCAGCAAACTCAGGTGGTTTGAGCCACAGCCCAGCTACCAGGAGGACAGCCAGGAGGGTATCAGTGGAGAAAAACACACTGCCTGAGAAAGAAGATAAAGACACAGAAGGGGCAGAAGAGATGCCTGACCTGATCTCAATCAGCATGGGAAAGAATTAGAAAACCCACAGCTGGGGAAAAGAACAAATATGTTATGTCCTGAATACATAGCACTTCATCAAAACACCTCAGACTGTGAGCAAAAGCAGCTGTAATGATGATGGATTTCATTCTCACAATTAGCCCACTGTATCTCTGTGGCAACCGAGGAAGCAGGAATTGCTTGCTAATGGCCTGGCTTTATTCCACAGAGGCACCGAGTACCATAAGCAGGTCAAAGCCAGCCAGAACTCCGTGCTGGAGCATGCATGGGCAGTGGCTGCAAGCAGAGGATCAAGCAAGACATAGAACTCCACATACCATTAATATAACGAATAACTTGTTAATTGGAGTGCACCTAATCCACAGCTTCTCACTCTCTTCTTAGCAATTAGTGAAACTAGCACAGGAGGCAAAACCACTGCCTGCTTAAGAGTTAGCTTTCTTCCGAGTTAGCTTTGAAGGTTGCTCGAAAAGGAAAGAAAATATGCCTGCAATTTGAATAGGTATTTTCATTTCTTTGTCTGGCAATGCAGAAAAGGAGCAGCTGGACAAGGTCAGTTGCCACTGACCAGAACAGCTTCATGCATCGCTAAGCAGAATTTGCTCTTTCCTTCTTTAAAAAAAGAAATCTTTGAATTCACTGGAAAGCAAAACAACCAAAGCCCACTTGTGAATGTATGTCAGACCCTGGTCAGCACATCAGACCTCACCAGAACGCCATCACACACCACAGGCTGTCAGGGGGAGGCTCTGGCTGAGGAAGCCCACCTCGCTCATTCCTACAATCCTTGCAGCATCCACAGGCAGATACAGCCACACTGCACCAACACACTGAGCTATGGAGCACGAGGCTGCTGGGGAGGTGTCAGACATCACAGCCCACGCTCAGCAGAACTTGGCAGCTCCATTTGCTTTACCAGCATGGGACATCCAACTCCCCCTTACTGCTCAGCCCCCAGGAGCTCTCAGGTGCTGAGCACCACAGCCCTGTCTCTCATGCTCACCTCACTGATGTAGCAGCAGCCAGGGGAAAGGAGAAGGGTGGTCAGGCACTAGAATGGCCTGCCCAAGGAGGTGGTGGAGTCGCCATCCCTGGCAGTGTTCAAGAGGCACCTGGATGAGGAGCTATAAGATATGGTTTAGTAGCTTGTGGTACTAATAGGAATGGGAGGGTGGTTGGACTGGATGATCTTGCAGGTCGTTTCCAACCTTGTGATTCTGTGATTCAGAAGCCACTCAGAGGAGACTTCATGTCTCACTACCAGTGTCTCCCATCTCTTATTTATCTTTTCTGTAAATAGTAGCTCTAGCTTCACTAACACAATTAAAAAAATCACAAGGGATTATTAATTCTTGGAGACAAAAACAACCTAACGCAGCTCAGACCGCTGGGCGTGAAGTGCAAGCCTCCATATAGACTCCCCTTGGAAGTGTTCAAGCAGAATTAAAGTACCAGGAAAATCAATCAACCTGAACAATGACGATGACCCTCACAAGGTATCCTGTGATCAGCAAAAGCAGCTATCTGATCTCTGCATTAATGTAATGATCTTCTGTCTGAACTCCTAAATCTGAGCATCCTTGAAACCAAAAGAAGGAACTAAGCCTGACTATATTGGGACCAGACATTTCTATGACAGACTTGGGAGACTTATATTCATGGGCATATGGACCTGTCTGAAGCAGTTATATTCAGATCTTAAATTACACGGCTTTCAGTTCGACGGTAATATGTTCTTATTTCCTGTTTAGTGCTCTTGGGTCTATAAAACTAGATTTAGGGGTTGTGGTTGGACACAGTGTTCATGAAAAAGCTTCTGAGGTTGTACAGCTGCTCTCTGCTGAAATCTATAGCAATTGTGCATCTGTTGAATGTATGGGCACTTGTAAAACAAATTTTACAGCATGCTGTCAGACACCATGTATTAAAGATGCTACTACATGAATGCAAAACCACTAATATGAAATAGCCTGAAAACCTATTCACTTCAGGAGGTAAAAGCTAATGAATTGCCTTTTTTTTTTTTTTTTTTATTAAACAAAATTCACGCTCTCAACAGCTTGCTCAGTCCCATCTGATGCTGGTGTGCTACAAATGTTTGCTATGTACGCTGACGTAGACTAGGCTACTTCCAATCTGCTTCAGTTAGTTACTGATGCATGCTTACATCATCTCCCATCTGTCTCAAATCAAGGAATTTGGGGCATTCTTGAACAAGACAGGCTTTGGGTCAGTACCTGTCCTCATGAACACGGCTTCACTGAGGTGACACCAGCCAGAAGTTAACTGGGTAGCACCAACTGGAAACTGCCATGCTAACTGGTCTGTTCCTTGCTGGAAATGGACATACGTGGCCTGCATTACCCCTAAACAGATTCGAGTCTTCTGTGCTTTCTCACTCATTTGCTCACCTGCTCTACAAGCGATGACAGAATGACCCATCCAGCTGCATGTTGGGCTGAAGCAGCTATGTAGTACACAAAGTCTGTCAGAACACTTGAAAATAGTTTTCTATTGCTCCTCCTCATTATACTGTTAAGAGAAATAGCTTCCTATCACAGATTTGACTTCCATTCTGTCTCAAGTTCAGGAAATGAGTAGAACTACTGAAAGGATTAGACATGGATGTGGATAACAGCAGCGCTTTTCATAGAAAGGAAAAGACAGTTTTGACTGCAGATTGCACGAACCAATTAGTACTGCCTGAAGTAGAGAAGCTGCATATGGCCAGGCTCTTCCATAGTTGTCCATTCTGCACATTTTATGCATTCTAGAAAGTCTGAGAGTCCTACAGTGTAGAGACTGACTGTGGACACAGGATGAACAGAAGATTCCTTCTGACCCCACAGAATTCATGAGAAAACATACAAAATAAGACCTGGAAACATGCTACGTACAAGTACCATCAAACTACCTTCTTCTGACATCACACATGGAGATCCCACACTATCTGTTCTTAGTTCGTAGGTTAACTGTGCACCTTATACTCCTATACTTTCTAGGGGTAATGAGCATCATAAAATGAGTTTCAGACACAAAAAGCACTTGTGAAAAACAGGCATCCACCAAGAGATCAGACAAACACGTAGTCCTCCCTCCCACAGGTTAACCTAAGCCATACAATTCATTCCAAGTCATGCTTGAAGCGTAGGCATCAATTAACATTAACTCATGATGGTGACTAATTAGAATAAGTTAATAAGAAAGGAAACTACGGATTGATGGGAGCTCATCATCTCTGTATTAAATCACACTTGTGGCTTTCCAACCACAGATACCAAAGACTATACATTTCCTTGTTGTTTTTAACTGGGATTGCTTTTCAAGGATCCAAACACTACCCCAAATATAATAATTGAGACAAATTTACTAAGAGCAATACTCAGACTGCTTTCTGCCTGTGAATCTAAAGGAAGTCACACTGAGGCATCGCTCACTTATGTGAAATAGCAAGCGGAGCGCACAGCCGTACCACTGAATTTTTCACGCTCTGCAGCAGGCGCTCGTGTTGTTCTGCTATGGCCAGAGCAGCCGAGTGAACCTTCTGATAGATTGCTTCCCCATCTCGTGTCTGAAAGATGAACAGTCCTTCTCCTGTGTCGCACATCCTGCCAAAGTGAGAGCAGACAGGAGCCAGATGTGAGATTTTTCACTTGCTCGCAAGGATCTGTAGCACTGCGCCGTGCAGCTTTAGAGCCATCACTGCACAAGCAGAATGAAACAAAGGTTGTTGAAGAACTGAAGAAAGTTATTTGCACGGGCTTTAACAGCCCTAGCACAATCTTACTGTTTTAACCCACACTTTGGCCAAACACAGACTCAGGTGAGTACAACCCTTGAAAGTGCTTGAGCTCTAGAGAGTTGATGCACAAAACCCAGATTTTTGAAATTTAGACTTAAAAGAGGGGATTAATTTTCCTTCTTTCCCTTTCAGGGCTTTAATATTGCCTGTAATGAGCTTTGTCTTTCACTTGAAACCCTAAACACGTTATCCTCAGCATCCCAACGGTAATGTCTTACCACAGCTCATGCACAATCAGAGAACTAAAAACACATCCCTTTTCCTGAGAGAACTAAATTCTTCAGCAGTACAGAGGATGGACGTTTAAATGCCTCTTCTCTTTCCAGATATGTTAATTGTACGATGTGTTTCTCTTTTACGATTGTAATTCTTTAATATGCTTATCTAAAATAAAGCAACCACAGCCTTTAAAAAGGATTTGGGAGTTTAGTTCAATCAACAGGTGCTCCAGCCTCAGCCACACAAAGACTTCAGTTCATTAAGTTCAAGCTGCAGGAAGCGATAAGGAACAACAACTCTAGAAGGAGGAACTGCATTTACATTTCTTATAAACGCATTTGTCATAATAGATGGAAAGCAGGAGTGTGATTAACAAAAACAAGGACCCCCTTCTCCACTACTTCAGAATGATGGAGGAAGGTGATGCACTGCAACAAACACACACCTACCTCCCTGCTTCAAAGGTGAACCAAGAAGGGTCCCGTCCGTAGCGTCGGAGGGCACTTAATGGCCAAGAGACGAGTTTGACTCTGGGATTCTGGATGTCCCAAAGACAGATATTCTCAAATGTTATCTGCAAGGTACATTCCCCATGCACATCTAAGTTAGGGGATGGCATCAAATACACATTGAATCTCTCTGGGAGAAAAACAAAAGGTTAGTCTAAAATCCCTGCCCGTTAACTGTCGAAGTCATTAAAGGAATTTCCTATTTTCCACCTCTATTAAAAGATCTTATTTCACTTCATACAATTATTGCAAAAATAAAGACTCAATTCCTTCCAACAACTCAACTAACTCAATGTTTGGAGCAATCAAAACACCGCGCTGAAAGGGCAAACACTTGGGAACGTGTTGAGATGCAGAAGAACTGCACCATCATAATCCTGATATTAACACAACTGTGTGCACGAATAAATACACTGCAAGTGCTTTTGTGCATATAATTAATTAATTTGCATAGGAAAATGAAGTAGCTCAGAGCTCAGGTTTTGAGTGCAATTATTGTTATTTATTATTTGCTTTAACAATGTTGATAAATAGTTCTAGTCAGAGGCTGAAACTGTTGTACAGACACAGTATAAGAAAACACACAACGAAAATACAGTTTCCCTCTCCAAGGTCAGCTAAATTGTATGAGAGGAAAAGTGCTATTCCAAAATAATTTTAAAGCCCCGAATTACAGCACCTTATTACCATGCTTGTTATTTCTGATGGCAATTAAAACAAAACAAAAGAGGATGGGGGACTTGGTTTCTTGATTGGTACCAAAAAACAATTTTTGGTACCAATTTATTTTTTGTGTTCTTATGTGCAGTCCAAATGACTTTAAAATAAAGTAACAAAAGACTTAAGAAGTCAATACATTATGTACATACCATTCTGCTCCCTCTCCACTCCTGATGCCAACAAGTCAGGCTCTCCAAGGCTAATGTCATTAATTCTTGTCCCAAGACACTCCATCTGCAATACCTTGCACCACTCATCTGCCTCAAGTTCTGTATAAATGCCCAGAAAGTCTGTGTGTAGGTATAATACATTTATGATTTCACAATTGATGCTCTCATGTTCTCATGGGCATTGCCATTTTACCCACCTGACTCACAAGCAAAAGTTTTAGAGGTGTCATCATTAAAGTAGATCCCAACAGCATGCTTCTTTGTGCTTTTTGGCATCCGTGATATATTCTTCACGTTATTGAGCTCTGTGACCTGGAAGAAAAAAAGAAAAACACACCAAAAAAACCAACAATTTGGGGATGTAATTAAGACCTAAAAAGATATATATCCACTATTGACCAGAGAAGCTGAAAAAAGAATGATGTTGAGCTGCAAAGGACAGACAAAGAGAGAATATTTGATTGCCCTCAAGGAAACACAGCCTTGACATGAATCATCTTGTGCAATCTACTTGGAGAGCCTGGATGGTGAAGGAGACATTCTCCACTTCCCTCTCATCCACATAAGCTTCAGCGCAAACTGACCTAAGCAGGATTTAAGCCAAGATGCAGGTAGAATCGAAGCTCACTTCAAGAAATACTTACAGGCAGGACATTTAGAAGACCAACCTGTTGCAGTAGAAATAAAAGGAGGTGAAGAGAGAAAGCTGAAAGAGTCTCCCATTTGGTGGAGCAAATCCAGTTCCAGCATGGCTTCCATCGTAAGGACAAAACTGAGAATGGTGTAAAGTCAGTGTCTGAAACTGCGTTTAAGGAAAGTTGGTGGTTTGTTACAACAGCCCATAGAGAAAATAACTATGAAAAATTGAAATAATTTTTTTTTTTAAAGATCACAGTTTTAGTAGTTGGAAAGCTTGTTCCCTTTAAAGATTCACAGAATGAATTCTCAGATTTGAAGATGCAGATTTCTGTTGCTTGGTTGCCAAAAACTGACTGGAATCTCTTTCAATCCAACAAAAATGAACATGTATCTGTTACCTCACAGAGTTTTAGGAAATGCCATGGTTCCCTCATGTGGCTCTAGCATCCACTTTTCACGCTCACCCTCATCAATAATGTTCATAAATTTGACTGAAGAGAAATTTTTCACTTTTTAAATTCTTTTTAGTGTAAAGATTAATACCCAGACAAGGCATCAGGAAGCTCTACTGAAATATCAGAAATAGCTTCACTGATCGTTTTACATGCCAAGGACTGCAGAGACAGAAAGGAGTTTAAGAAAAACATCCCCAAAGCTGTACTTTGCAACCAAAGTGCTTAATTACTTCAGTCTCATTAGGGCTGCAGAACGCTCTTTTATGGTTGCAGTTGTAAAGGAAGAAACGCAGCACTCCACCTTACCTGGAAGATTTGGGAACTGCCACAACTTCTCACGGTAGGGTCCAGAAAGGGGCTGATCCCCCACAGCTCCTTGGGTTCCCCAGCACACCTACTGCATCCCTCCGGCCTTAAACCCTAAATCACCTTCTCCTTAGAGTCAATTTATTGCCTCTTCTCTTTTAGCAAGGGAATATGGACAGTTAAAGTCAAACTTTCAGGCAAGAGCCTGGAGATCAATGACTGGAAGGGACAGCAGACAGTGGGCAGCCTATCCCCCAGATAAGCCACACACCTAAGATCTGGAAATTCACTCTGCAGCTGCTAGCAACAGGAATAACAAAATGAAAGAAACATCCATAGGGAACACATCAAGTCTTCTGCTGAGCTGCCAAATCTAGGAGTCAGGTTTTTATAGCCTCTGGGCTCAAGATTTTGAGAAGTGTCAAAACCGAGACTTCCTGATTGTGCTTAATTTTGCATGAGGATTTTTCTCTCTTCTAGGAAATCCTGTGATGGAAGTACATCCCCCAGTGCTAACAAGACACTGACAAACTCATTGTTAAATATGACAAATCTGTCGTGGCTCATTCCCATCGTACTCAGTACATGACAGGTCAAGCTTGAGTTGCCAGCTGCCAGGTTCAGCTCTCATTTGCCAGTAAATATTCAAATGCAATAAGGAAAGAAACTAAAGTTAGACTTTTTGTTCAGGGCAGTAACTATTCTGACATTTACAGAGAGCACATTTTCTGCAAGTGGATGTGCTAATGAAATTGGCACCAGTGAGTGAGCAAGTACCTGTGAGTACAGAAGCCAGCATAAGCAGAATTGGGCCGTATATTTTGGTACTGAATCATTTAGTTATCCAGGATTTATTCTAATTGAAAGCTCATTTCCAAAAATCTGGCGTCTAACACTCCTGCTGCTGGGTAGCACACTAATTGGTGCCTAGTGTAATGAATCCCAAGATGCTCAGCAGCATGATCAGAGAAGGTTTATACAGAAAACTGCTTCTCCTTGCTACTGTGGGATCCAGTGGCAGCTGGTGGCTCAGGACCAGCCAGCCACTGCCCCAGCCCCCTGCCAGCTCCCAGAGCACACAGGGCATGCAGCTCTGCAGGGCAGCCCCACCAGGGAACGCAGCACTGGGCAGCACAGGAGGCTGCTGGCTCTCGAAAGGGAGCAAACAAACCAACCAGCAGTACCACTAATGACTTGTGATCAAACTGAGTCATGTACCTCTGGGCCAGACAGGTGAGAATGTTCAAAGCACTACTGGGAAGATGAGAAGGACGAGATTAAAGCATCTGCTGTGTTTGTACATAAAAGAAGCAAATTGTGATCACACCTTCCTTTACCTAGACTCCAACCCCAGCTCACCCCTACCAACCTAAAGCCTCCTGCTCTCTTGCTTGTGTCTCAGTGCCACATCCACATTGCAGCTCTAGGCTGCATCATCTCTGAGCCCAGCCACTGGGATTCAGATCTCCTCCTGCCAAATATAACACACCCGTGACCCTTTCTGGTCTAAGGCTTTACATCAGAACCAGCTGGTTATCCCAATTTGGTCATTACATAGAGTAGGACAGAAGCTACAGTCATACTTGTAAACCAACATTTTTCCTCTCTTTTTTGTTCTCCCAGTCAAGAAAAGATTACTAGAAATTACATAGCATCTCTTCCCTCACCCTGCAGCCCATGACAGTAGTAATTTCTCCTCAGTGAGGACAGTCACTCTATGCTACAGTCACTTCATTGGGCCATAAGGAAGTTAAGCAAAACCCAAAGGGAACAGAAGTACACGGCTGGGTGTCCTGACCTGAAGGCAGCATAACGCACAACCATGTTCCCCTTCAGAAATTATTAAACATAAGCATGAGCACAATGGCTTCATTGGTTTGGAATTGAGAACAGCAATAATATCTTTTTTATATCTTATAAATTACCTTTATAAATAATATCTTTTTTTCCTTATAAATTTCTCTGAAAGGCCAGATAGTTACAAAGAAGTACTTTCCTACAGTAATCTCAAAGGCAGAGTAATATATTCCAACAGATTTTCCAAGGTGCAGCTCATGCTTGAAATCCCAGAGTTCATCCTTTGAACACAAAAAGTATTTTCATTTGATTAAACCTTCTCCTGCATTTGCTCCTTATTGTCATACTCCCTCTAACCACACTGTGGTATGAAGCAAGCAACACAGATTATCAGAAACATCATTTATCCTTTAACCATTGCCTTCACAGTATTCACTGTGGTCTTTCCTTTCTAGGATACCAGCCAACAGTTCATTGGAATGAAGCCTTATTTAATGCTGTTACAAGACTCTAACCTAAAGTCTTTCCTCAACACTTTGTCCCCACCTCCAAGTACTTTGTGCTGGATCAGGGAGGATGCAAAAGAGAGCAACCCAAATATGCACACTGCAGGCAGGTGCTTCCAGGAATCACCTTATGTACTCTGTGAATGCTGCACTGAAAAGCACAGCTGCCACGTACTGTGAATGCATTCCTTCTGAGAGCCCCGTTCCACAGCCTGGTCTAGTAACACTGTATGTGATGCATCCTTTGAGTGTTATCTCGAGGATGTACTGAAATCAATAGCATTGTGTCATTAATTTAATTGATCGTCATATCAACGTTTTAGCCATGAACTGGGAAAATGGGTGTTTGCATTTGGAGAAATGCTAGCTACAGTAACTGGCAGCTCTGGGGTTATTTAGTGCTGTGCTGACTGCTGGAGCCCTCTTGTACAATGGCACTTCATAGCACAGACTGAAAATCCTCCTTGCCTCTTGGAGGCATTTGTTTCTATAGAACTGCACTGGCTGAGACCAAAATACCTCCCTCAGGTGTGCAGGACAGGCAGCCCCAAGGCTGACCTATGACCCTTCCCAATCTCTTTTAGGCTGTTTTCAGACCAAGACTGCAGTACAGGACACAGGGATAACAACAGAGGGAGCAAACCTGGCACGCTGGGAAGCTTTCTGAAGTCTGTGGCTGCAGTCATAGCATGCAGAAGATCCGCAAATTCAATCTTTCAGCTCACACACGCTTTAGGTCCCAAATACAACTTCATAGCACCTGATTTTTGCAGCTGGCAAAAACGCAGCAACTGCCCTCTCTTCCTTTTGGGGCTGCACTGCTGGAGCTGTCCTTACCTTTCAGAAGAACTGTGGCACAGCACAGCCCCTTCCTGCAAAGCCCAGCTTTGGCCAAGGAGCAGATCCTACTGCAGACCCTCCACAGCACACCTGTGCTCCCAAGGGAGAGCTCATCAAAAACCACCCGGCACCCAACCTGCTGCATTGCCCTGCAAGGTGCTACAGAGCACTCTCATTACCCAGGCAGCCTGAAGAGCCTCACCATTGCTCTCACGAATGCAACAGATGGTTCAAATTGTCTGGCACCAAATTCACACTAAGAAGTGGCAGACAGCTAATTTCCCCTCCCCAGGCTTTGGAAAGGAGTCAGGAGCAGACACCAAGCACCTGCCAGTATTCCAGGCTGCTATTCTCTTCCTGCTAGACATGTAAAAGTGTTGTCATAGTTTAGTAAGTTTTGAGGTGGTTTGTTTTTTTTTTTTTGCCAAAATTAGTGTACATCTATAAGCTTAATTCTAAGAAGTTGGATGTGCTACAAATCTCAGGCCCACAACAGCATTTAACAGTGAAAGAACAGGAGGAATGTTATTCTATTGAGAAGGGTTGCAGCCCTGGCACACTCCTTTCCTCCCTTTTGCTTTCAGGGCTCCTTTACATCAAAGGTGACAACCCATACAACTGAAGTACACCTGACTGAAGACCAAAATAACTTGCAGAGGTGTGCGATAGGAATCCTGGATCAGGATAAGGGATTAAGCGTTCACTGCCTGACCGACAACAGAAGCAGACAGAGCTTCATCATCGCCAGAAACACTCTGGAAAATATTTT